CACACATTTCTCAGAGACGACGATCTTGTGTACAGCCTTGAAAGATGAATAGGAATCGGCCAGGTAGGTGTTGTGAGCAGAGAAGTTGAGAGTATGACAGGGTGTTCCAGCTTCTAGAAGCAGCCTGAGCTAAAGATACGGGGTGTGCACCCCCGTGATGGGAATGCAGGTTTTGAGGAGGGGTGTGGTGACAGAGCAAGTTCCTGTTTTTTTCTGTGGGTAACGCTTGAGTGGAAATTCAAGAGTCTGCAAGTGCCGCTGGGAAGGAGGCCTTGCCCGTTGGAGGATAAGCCTGTGCCCACACTGACCCCTGCTCAGTTCTTGCTGCTCAGATCCAACAGGAAGGACTACAGTGGCTGATAAATCATGTTGTGAAGCAGTTCTTTGTCTTCTGGGTCAACTTACCCAACTAGTCCTGATTTCCCCAAAGCCACTCTGTATGGATTTATCTAAGCTCTTCCTCTACCTAATCATGCTTTTGGCACCATCTCTTGGAATAAATTGTTTAACACCCCTGTTACCATGTTGCCCTTTTAGATTTGCCCTGAATTTGCTCCACGTGGCCCTTCAGGGCTGTCTCTCAGTTTCTTACATTTCTGAGATCACTTGATCTTATTGGTGGACTGCAGGCATATTTCTTTGTACCCTGAGAAGATCTTTCAGTTTGCTTTAAAAAAGAAGTGTTTTCCTTTCTTTACTCATTTTAATGGTCCCTCTTGGGGCTTATATAAGTCTCCTTAGCTTCCTTGATATGAGATGGCAAGAACTTAAGTGTTCCAAGTGACGACAATGCATTGTGGTTTTGCAGAGGAAAGGATGACAGAGTAGGGGTTTGTCATTTTTATTGTTGTCTTAGAGGAGGAGCAGATGAAACTGGCTTTAGGGAACTTGTCTTGTGCCTGATAGTTTAGAGCAGGGGTGGGGAACCTTTTTTCTGCCAAGAGCCATCTGGATATTTATAACATCATTCGAGGGCCATACAAAATTATCAACTTAAAAATTAGCTGCTATATTTGGTCCA